TTTTTTTTTTTTTTTTTGTCATTTATTTTAGGGTTTGAAACATTTGGAGGGTGTTCGTTTTTATGGTTTTGGGTGGTTTAGGGTTTAACATTTGAATTTCTTATAATTTTAATGTTTTTACGATTTTTGAGGTCTAGGGTTATGGAGTTTATAGTTTTGAGTTTTTAGGGTCTTAGGATTATGGGGTGTAGGGTTTGAAGATTTTAGAGTTTTGTACTTAGGGTTATGGGGTTTAGGTTTAGAGTTTCTAGGGTTTAGAGATTTTAATGTTTTAGACTTTTTAGGGTTTGAAGTTTTTTTAGGGTTTGGAGTTTTATGGTTTTATGGTTTTAAGTTTTTTCAGGGAGGGGTTCTATGGTGTTAGGGTTTTATGTTTTTTAGGGTTTGGAGTTTTTTATGGTTTTAGGGTTTAAAGTTTTTTAGGGTTTGGCGTTTTATGGTTTTAGGGTTTTAAGTTTTTTAGGGGTTGGAGTTTTATGGTTTTAAGTTTGTTAGGGTTTGGAGTTTTATGTTTTTAGGGGTTTAAGTTTTTTAGGGTTTTAAGTTTTTTAGGGTTTGGAGTTCTATGGTGTTAGGGTTTTAAGTTTTTTAGGGTTTGGAGTTCTATGGTGTTAGGGTTTTAAGTTTTTTAGGGTTTTGAGTTTTTATGGTTTTAGGGTTTTAAGTTTTTTAGGGTTTGAAGTTTTTATGGTTTTAGGGTTTCAAGTTTTTTAGAGTTTGAAGTTTTATGGTTTTAGGGTTTTAAGTTTTGTAGGGTTTGGAGTTTTATGGTTGTAGGGGTTTAAGTTTTTTAGGGTTTGAAGTACTATGGTATTAGGGTTTTATGCTTTTTTAGGGTTTTGGAGTTTATATGGTTTTAGGATGTGAAGTGTTTTCGGGTTTGGAGTTTTATGGTTTTAGGGTTTGAAGTTTTTTTTTTAGGGTCGGAGTTTAATGGTTTTTAGTTTTTGAGGGGTTTTAAGTTTTTTAGGGTTTGGAGTTTTATGGTTTTAGGGTTTTAAGTTTTTTAGGGTTTTTAAGTTTTTAAGGGTTTGGAGTTCTATGGTGTTAGGGTTTGGAGTTTTTATGGTCTTAGGGTTTTATGTTTTTTAGGGTTTGTAGTCTTTATGGTTTTAGGGGTTTAAGTTTTTTAGGGTTTTGAGTTTTATGGTTTTAGGGTTTTAAATTTTTAGTGATTTGAGTTCTATGGTGTTAGAGTTTTAAGTTTTTTAGGGTTTGGAGTTTTTATGGTTTTAGGCTTTGGAGTTTTATGGTTTAAGTTTTTTTAGGGTTTTTAATTTTTTAGGGTTTGGAGTTTTATTGTTTTAGGGGTTTAAGTTTTTTAGGGTTTTAATTTTTTTAGGAATTGGAATTTTTATGGTTTTAGGGTTTTGGTTTTTATGGCCTTAGGGTTTTAAGTTTTTTAGGGATTGGAGTTTTATGGTTTTAGGGTTTTAAGTTTTTTAGGGTTTGGAGTTTTATTGTTTTAGGGTTGGAAGTTTTTTAGGGTTTGGAGTTTTATGGTTTTAAATTTTTAGGGTTTTAAGTTCTTTTGGATCAATCAGGAGCCAGAGCTAAGCCACTTTACAGTGAAAGAAAGAAGGAAAGGAAAAGGAGTGAAGTTCGTAAACTCTTTCTTGATTGAGTCTTTCTTCGGTTTCTGTCTGGGTTTGCTTTACCGAGTGAAAAAGCTCTTACGAAACTTTACAGTCATCTAGATAAAAAAAAAATAATTAATTGAACCTGCTGCTGTTAGTGAAAAAACGATTACGAAACTTTACAATCATCTAGATAAAAAATAATTAATGGAACCCGCTTTTGTTGGGGAAAAACCTCTTACGAAGCTTTTTAGGGGTTGGAGTTGTGTGGTTTTAGGGTTTTAAGCTTTTTAGGGTTTTGAGTTGTGTGGCTTTAGGGTTTTAAGTTTTTCAGGTTTGGAGCTTTATGGTTTTAAGCTTTTTTTACAGTTTGAAGTTTATGGTTTTAGGGTTCGGAGTTTTATGGCTTTAAGTTTTTTCTAGGGTTTTAAGTTTTGTAGGGTTTGTTGTTTTATAGTTGTAGGGGTTCAAGTTTTTTAGGGTTTGGAGTTTTTATGGTTTTAGGTTCTTTTAGGGTTTGTTGTTTTATGGTTTTAGGGTTTTAAGTTTGTTAGGGTTTGGAGTTTTTATGGTTTTAGGGTAAGTTTTTTAGGGTTTGGAGTTTTATGGTTTCACGGTTTTATGTTCTTTTAGGGTTTAAGTTTTGTAGGGTTTGGAGTCTTATGGTTTTAAGTTTTCTAGAGTTTTAAGTATTTTAGGGTGTGGATTTTTATGTTTTTAGGAGTTTAAAGTTTTTTAGGGATTAAAGCTTTTTAGGGTTTGGTGCTTTTATAGTTTTAGGGTTTTAAGTTTTTCAGGGCGTGGAGTTGTATGGTTTTAGGTTTTAAGTTTTGTAGGGTTTGGAGTTTTAGGGTTTAGTTTTTTTTTTTAATTTTTTTTATGGTTTTGAGTATTTTTTAGGATTTTATGTTTTTTAGGGTTTGGAGTTTTATGGTTTTAAAGGTTTAAGTTTTTTAGGGTTTGGAGTTGTATGGTGTTAGGGTTTGAAGTTTTATGATTTTAGGGTTTTAAGTTTTTCACGGTTTAGGGTTTGGATTTTAGATTTATGGGGTTTGGGTTCGTAGGGTTTAGGGTTTAGGGTTTAGGCTAGCAATTCGGGTTGCAAGCGGGTTGCAGTCATGGGCCTTAGGATGTTGGGTCGTGACCGAGTGGGCTGCAAGCGTGTAGTCGAAGTCTTTTCTCCTCCTTTTTCTCTCCATATTCCTTTGTTGACCTCTCCTTTCTCCCATGAAGTTATGTGGCTATTGGACGTTTGTGGAGGTAGATAGGGAATTCTCAAAAATCCAATTTCTGAATTTCTTCTCTAACTGTGACAACGACGGCGCACGGAGTGAATCTGGTCTTGGTGGATATACTAAGATCGGTGAGGACTTTCATGTTACTTTGACTGAGGAGGAAATCGATTGTTGTTTTGACGGAGGAGGAAATCGTTGACGAGGAAAAAGCCGAAGGAAAAATCTTGAAAGAAGAAAATAACAAAAAAACAAAAAAGAGACAGTATTTCTCTGAAGACCCGTTTGAGCCCTATGGCTCGGTGTCCCGGTGGCATGTCCTCCAGACTCCACATCTTATTCTCAGTGATAGACGACATCGCTTCCTGCATTGCCTTCAGCCAGCACGGGTTCCTTTCTGCTTCGGCGAAGGTGTTCAGTTCTGCCACCTCTTGTTCGAGCTCGCGCGCCGCCAATCCAGGTAGTTCACCTCCTCCCACTAGGTCTTTCATCCTCCGGTACCTGGCCACCAGATCATCATCGTGATCGGCATCCAGCGTCGAATCCACAGTACATGGTGTTGCGAACTCCACTGGTTCAGTGGGTGTAGCCAAAGTTGTGGTTGGGGTTGGGGTTGGCGTATGCGTGTTTGGTGCAGCTGCTGGCGGCGGTGATGGTTTTCAATGCTACGCTCATCCTTCTCCCGGCTCGGTGACTAGGTACTCCACTGTGAATTAATTTGGTTTTTAGTCCATCTTGGTCACGTCGTTCCACTACCAGAAGGTGCTCTCGTCAAAGAAGACGTCGAGCGACACGTGAGCTCGCCCCCCTGCAGGATCATAGAGCCTGTACGTCTTGCTCCCATGTTCGTAGCCAATGAAGACGACCTTCAGCCCTCTGGGATCAAGCTTGGCAAGGTGGAGACACGCTACCTTCATGTATGCGACGCAGTCGAACACTCGGAGATGATGTATCGCTAGCTTCCTGTTGTACCAGGCCTCGTATGGCGTCTTCCCGTCGAGGCTTCGCGTTGGTGACCGATTGAGGAGGTAAACGTCCGTCAT